TGGTGTGTTTGATCACATTCCATGTGCTTAAGCACCTGGAAACGTGCTATTTCACTAGACACAAGTGTTAGGTCAAGTGCTGCTTCTGTGATAGCATACTATTGGATCGTGTTCCTTCCCCATTATTAATACATACCAAACAGTGATTATCTAAAAATTCTTCAACCATTTAAACCAACCAACCATTTAAATCTGTTCTATTGCTGCCCTATAGTGAATTATTTGAATTGAAATCCCCACATCATATTACTTTATCTTGCCAAAGTCCTCCAACATCCTCTAATATATCTACACTTACTTTCCCACACGGATTATAGTAATTAAATATGTAAATTTTCCTCTATTAGTACATACCTTAACTACTTTGTTATTTTGATCCTTTCATTACGGCTTTTTGTTTGTACTGAACAGTTGACTATATTTGCCATAAAGAATACAAAGTCATTTTTATTCACTATCAAAGTTTACTCCTTTACCTTATCAGATCCTCCACATTTCCCTTCATCTTTATTCCTTGTCACCTGCGTGTCTCCTGAAACCTTTGCTGCTTTTCCTTGTTGTACTCCATCATTACATATAATTAGTAATGCTCCATTTCGCAATATTTTGCACTCCTTACCTCCCCGATTTTCTTTCTTATGGATTTAGTTAGCTGTATTGAATTCGTATTGCCAAATGAAGCTCCCTCTTGCCCAAGTTTTACTATTGCCTTGACTTTCTGGCCTTTTAAATACACTCTTAAATGACTTCTTAATTACTTTTCTTCTTTTTTAATGACTCATATTCTCCAGTGATCGGTTTTCTCTTTGGTTCTCCTGATGTTCCTCTCACTTCACCTGCTACAAGTTCATTGTTACTTACTACCAGTTGGCAGTGAGCTGGTGGCATCCAGTTAAGTAGCGATAGCTGTGCGTTGCTGTCTACGGTATTAGAGCGGTCAATAAACCAGAGAGGTACTAAACCAGATAAGCTGGTGAACCAACAAAGTAAACTGAACTCTCAGAAATGCAGACTGGATTGTTGATTCACAGTAGGACCAGCAGTATAACCAACTCTTTAATGTCAAGGGAAAACATCTAATTAGATGTTGTAATCAACACTTTAAGTCAAAGGCCATTTACCTTGTGTTTGTCTCAGTGTGGACAGACATATTGTAAGCTAATTCTTCATGATTCCTCCACAGAGTCCACCAGGAGAGCTCAGAGGTTCCCAGTGGTCAGTCTGCCCAGCAGCATCAAACACACCTGGACTCCATATTTATGGTCTGTACATCTGTTCTGTTCACAATAATCCCAGTAGACCAGTGGATTCAGTCAGTCTGTCCAACATGGATCTGATGGTTAGTTCCATGATTTTACTTTGACTGTGTCATTCATATAATATTCTGTTCCAGCTGCTGGAGGAGAACATTGTCACTTTTGTGAAGAATGAGCTGAAGAAGATCCAGAAGGTTCTGAGTTCAGATTACCCAGAATGCTCAGAGAGTCAGAGGAAAGATGAGGAGATGTTGGATGGTGAGGAGGAAGAGCAGAGGTGCAGCAGAAAGGCATTTCTGAAGATCACACTGCACTTCTTGAGGAGAATGAAGCAGGAGGAGCTGGCTGAGCGTCTGCAGAGCAGTAAGAGGATTTCTCTAAAGATTTAACCTGCTGGATAAACTGGACATTTACTGATGTCTCAAGGGATGGAAGAATATATATTCAAATACTAATTATTTAGTGGTAAGAAATATTGAAATTTTGACATTATGATATATTCATTGATCTAATGTGTTATGTTCATTCAGGAAATCATTCTAGTGTTTGTCAGCATAAACTTAAATCTAAGCTGAAGAAGAAGTTCCAGTGTGTGTTTGAGGGGATTGCTAAAGCAGGAAACCCAACCCTTCTGAACCAGATCTACACAGAGCTCTACATCACAGAGGGAGGGACTGCAGAGGTCAATGATGAACATGAGGTCAGACAGATTGAAACAGCATCCAGGAAACCAGCCAGACCAGAAACAACCATCAGACAAGAAGACATCTTTAAACCCTCACCTGGAAGAGATGAACCAATCAGAACAGTGATGACAAAGGGAGTGGCTGGCATTGGGAAAACAGTCTTAACACAGAAGTTCACTCTGGACTGGGCTGAAGATGAAGCCAACCAGGACATACACTTCACATTTCCATTCACTTTCAGAGAGCTGAATGTGCTGAAAGAGGAAAAGTACAGCTTGGTGGAACTTGTTCATCACTTCTTTCCTGAAACCAAAGAAGCAGGAATCTGCAGGTTTGAAGAGTTCCAGGTTGTGTTCATCTTTGACGGTCTGGATGAGTGTCGACTTCCTCTGGACTTCCACAACAATGAGGTCCTGACTGATGTTACAGAGTCCACCTCAGTGGATGTGCTGCTGACAAACCTCATCAGGGGGAACCTGCTTCCCTCTGCTCGCCTCTGGATAACCACACGACCTGCAGCAGCCAATCAGATCCCTCCTGGGTGTGTTGACATGGTGACAGAGATCAGAGGGTTCACCGACCCACAGAAGGAGGAGTACTTCAGGAAGAGGTTCAGAGATGAGGAGCAGGCCAGCAGAATCATCTCCCACATCAAGACATCACGAAGCCTCCACATCATGTGCCACATCCCAGTCTTCTGCTGGATCACTGCTACAGTTCTGGAGGAGTTGTTGAAGAACAGAGAGGGAGGAGAGCTGCCCAAGACCCTGACTGAGATGTACATCCACTTCCTGGTGGTTCAGTCCAAAGTGAAGAACATCAAGTATGATGGAGGATCTGAGACGGATCCACCCTGGAGTCCAGAGAGCAGGAAGATGATTGAGTCTCTGGGAAAACTGGCTTTTGAGCAGCTGCAGAAAGGCAACCTGATCTTCTATGAATCAGACCTGACAGAGTGTGGCATCGATATCAGAGCAGCCTCAGTGTACTCAGGAGTGTTCACACAGATCTTTAAAGAGGAGAGAGGACTGTACCAGGACAAGGTGTTCTGCTTCGTCCATCTGAGCGTTCAGGAGTTTCTGGCTGCTCTTCATGTCCATCTGACCTTCATCAACTCTGGTGTCAATCTGCTGTCAGAACAATCAACCTCCTGGTGGTCTGAATTATTCGGAGGCAAATCAACACAGTTCTACCAGAGTGCTGTGGACAAGGCCTTACAGAGTCCAAATGGACACCTGGACTTGTTCCTCCGCTTCCTCCTGGGACTTTCACTGCAGACCAATCACATTCTCCTACGAGGCCTGCTGAAACATACAGGCAGTGGCTCAAAAACGAATCAGGTAACAGTCGAGTACATCAAGAAGAAGTTCCAAAAGAGTCCCTCTGCAGAGAAAAGCATCAATCTGTTCCACTGTCTGAATGAACTGAATGATCGTTCTCTCGTGGACGAGATTCAACAGTGCCTGAAATCAGGAAAACTCTCCACAGATCAACTCTCTCCTGCTCAGTGGTCAGCTCTGGTCTTCATCTTACTGTCATCAGAAACAAATCTGGACGTGTTTGACCTGAAGAAATACTCTGCTTCAGAGGAGGCTCTTCTGAGGCTGCTGCCAGTGGTCAAAGCCTCCAAGAAAGCTTTGTGAGTGGGATTTATTATTCTTCAATAAATACTCTATCTTTAAAAAGGAGAAGACAAGAATACCTTTCACTTGCTTTCTTTCTGTGTAACCTCTCAGAGAGAAACTGAATCATGTGTGGTGTTCTAATTCAGATTCGCATATTGTTCAGCAATACAAACTGTGAACTTTGGCAGAAATGGAGAACCTCATTTAAGTTTAGATATGTCATTTTTATTACTTTTTGTCTGTTTATTCCTGATTCAGTCTATTGTGACTAGTTGATTAAATCTCCAACATGTTTAAAGTAAGCCATAATTTCAACATGGGCAGGGAAGACATTCAACCTTTTTCATTGCTGGAGCACGAAATATCTATGCATTGTCACATCCTTTTGCATCTGGTACCAACACAAATGGCGTCCTTTAACATCATAGTTCAGGCCCTTTAGCATTATTGTTCAAGGCTAAAAGTAGGCCTAGTATAAATAACAGAAGATTCCAAGGTGTTTGGGGTGGAATTGTGAGTTAGAAACTGGTCTTCCACCCAGGAGCCTGGTGTTCGTTTCCCATGTGAAACAAAAAGTCAACACTGAATATTTTTAGATTAGTTATTTTACGGAGTTAATGTTACTTAGGCAACTTAACTCAAATAAGTAATGAAGTTATTTTAACTCAAACCATGATCTTTTCCTAAACCTAATTAAGTACTTTTGTTGCTTAAATGTAACCAAGTAGTTTTGATGCCTAAACCTAACCAAATTGCATTTACATTAACCAAATACCATTTCACAACGTTAACCACTTGTTTTATTTTGAAAGTCTAACCGGACTTTGTATATTTATTACTGCTATCTTGACTGTCTGTTGGACATTTATTCTTGCTAACTTGACCTTGGAGCCCTACACATGCAAAACAAAGGGGTACCCAGGGCGTTAGAAAACAGTGCCAAGGGGTCTTGACCAAGTGACAAGTTGGGAGTGAAAATGTACTGTGCGATTATTTATTTATAAATATACACACACACACACACACACACACACACCAGATCCTGTGACCCCCAAACTGGGAGAGTGGCTACAGCAAATTCCAGTTAAAACATCAGAGGTCTCTGTCCAGAAAAGTGCAGTCCTAGGAACAGCTAAGATACTGTGCAGAACCCTCAAAGTCCCAAGGGAGGACCCGAGCTTACAGTGAGAAGGGGATATATATATATTTATATTATTTAAACAGGAAAAGTCCCATTTTCAACCACGAGTTGAAAAACAATAAATTACATAAATTAAAATACAATACAAATTTACACAAAGTTTACAAGATATTTTACATTGTGGTGTTTCCTGAGACTGAGACTCAACATTTTAAAGGAAATGTTATTTGTCTTTTTGTCCATTGCTTCCTCTTCAGACTGAGTGGCTGTAACCTCTCAGGGATAAGCTGTAATGCTCTGTCCTCAGTTCTCAGCTCCCAGTCCTCTAGTCTGAGAGAGCTAGACCTGAGTAATAACAACCTGCAGGATTCAGGAGTGAAGCTGCTGTCTGCTGGACTGGAGAGTCCACATTTTAAACTGGAAATCCTCAGGTCAGGATTCATTAACCCATTTAACTGATGACCCTGAATACTCTGCTTTACATTAGTGGATAAACCGCTAACATGTTGAGGTTTGTTTGCTAATATGATTTGTTAATTTACTTTTGACTTTCAATGAGGATTTTTCATGATTTTGCATTTGTTTTGCTTTTGTTGTTGAAATATTACATATGCACGAATTTATTCTAACATTGTATCTGGACTAAAATGTCCAACATCTTACAAAAAAAACAAAAACGTACAAAAAAAGTTTTCCCACTGGGGGATTCTTTTAGTACTGGTTGCTCTGACTAGTTTCCTCTGTCTAGTGGCTACTTTGATATACCACTGTGAAGTCACATTATTTTGTGTGAGTGCACAATCTACGTGTCTTTTTCGCCGTTTTTGACTAGATCACTCTACATAAACAGATTTTTAAGGTCCGTATTATGCAAAATACACTTTGATGTCTTTACCCACATAGACAAAATCTCTCCCTTTTTCTCCTGCTCATTCTTTCAGTAAATGTGTATGCAAACACAGTTTGACCATGTCCATTCATGACATCATGGAGGGATCTGTGTAGGGACTGCTACGGCACAGGACCTCCTCCAGCCCTTCAGCACTGTAGATGACCCCTCCCACTGAACGCATATTGAATACACCTCAGCCATGACCCCGCCATAACACCAATCGGTCATTCCATAGAGCTGCTAGAGCTGGAAGTTCAGTCAGTCTCGTAGAAAGTGCTTTTTTTTCGATAATGAAAGAAAGTTAAATATTTTCTGGTTTTCCCTCTGATGCTGTCCTACTGCTCTTTTTTTTTTTGGAAGATTTAATTGTAAGACGTTGTGTGAGATCAAGTAATTTATCTTTTATTTATTTATTTTCCTTATCTTGTATAGAGAGAAGTGGCATGACCGAGAGACAGTAGCGACATGAATGTAGAACATCTTCTTGAAAATGCTGTAGGCACAGGGTCAATACCATAGACTGTATATAAAAATTGACATATAATGTCCATGACGTCATCCATTGGTTTCTGAAGAGCAGTTTTGAAGCCCAAATTGGGCGGAGCCGGTCACCGCCATCTTGGCAGCGCGTCACTGCACATCACTCCCGGATAACCAAAAATGGGCAAAGAGGCGGGTCATGGGTGAAGCTGAGGTAACTGGTTGCTGAAACCACTCCCACCTAGCTCGATGTGACCAAGTTAGCTCAGGCTAAGGAGCTAAATCTATATGCTACTCTGCGTTGTCAAAAGTAGCTTCTAAACCCCTGGGGGCTGTATGGCTTATTGCCGTGTTGTTACCAGTCTATGGTCGTTACCAGCTTACACTCGAGGTAAGTTACCTGAACTACACAACAACACTTAAAATAACTATTTATCTGTTATTGACATTATAGTTCATAAGGTTTAAAATGCTTCAACAATCTTTAATATGTAGATGTAGTAATGCTGATGGAAGCTATTTAACTTGTAAAACATTTATTAACTGTTATTGCAGCTTTAGTTAAAGTATTAACAAATCACACAAGGTAATTCCCCACATCGCTATGTTGAGTTACGTTGCTGCTGTCGGCAGTGCTGTGCGAGATCATTGTCTGGAATAACACTGTTGTCACAACACATTTGTCACAAGATGTTTTTTTCTTTCAGTGATCGGTTCTTGTTGAGGTCGCGATGCCTCCACGTCTGCTATATACAGCTTAAACTGTAAGTAACGTTACTTGTCTTGACTACTGGACATTTGGCAGCTGATATTAAATATATAGTCTGTCTTAAAAGGGACAATACAAAAACATTTCTCCCACGAATGTGACATAATAGTGCTGTCAGCATTAAAACATTGAGGGATCTTTTAGAGGAGCATCTCAAAACATTTTAATACATAGAAAAGTTCATTGTGAGCACCAGAACCAGACTGACAGATTAAAGGCTTCAGAAACCTTTGCAGGTGTTTTGAGTTAATTAGCTGATTAGATAGCTCTTCTCCAATTGACATTTCTGTATAATTTACAATACAGAAATGTATTTATTCTAAAATTTGAATGCATTTTGAGATACTGGAGTTTTTATTTCCAAGAGCTGTACACCGTACTCATCAACATGAAAACAAAAAAAGGGGCTTGAAATACTTCACTTTGTATAATTAATTTTTAAAGACTAATCGGTATAGTTTGTTTATATTTTTCATTACCTGAAGCATTTATTACACTTTTTCCTCCCAGTGTCACACTGTTCATCAGATGTCCACCTGGTGCCCAGAGAGCTACAGAGACCTGGGAAGCCTCCTCATTGTGCTGGAAGTTTGTATCTGCATAGACTGATGTACTTTTAGTTTTAAATATTGTCCATATTTGTGTTATATTTCCATATAAAAAATATGGTTTATGGTTCACATTGTAATAAATTCTAAATATATTTGTACTCCCTGTCTTTACTACTTACGGAAATGTTAGATTTTACATATTGTCAATACAAAGGACAAGCTAATTGTACAACATACTGTAGATAAAACACCAAAGCTAAACTCTTACCAAAGAACATCAGTCTAGTATTAAATTGAAAAGTGAAAATACTCCCAAATGTTTCACTTGAAATGTTGATGAGTAATTATGCAGTGTATTTCTGTGTGTGCAGAAGTTATTTCACTTTCTACCTAATACTTTACGTTAAATAAGGAGTCTTACACTCACTAACAGAGCCTGAAGTTTTTGAAGAGTGCCTTGTTTGCTGGTCTGATGTAAGTCTAGTTTAAATACATAATTATGTGTGTACCACTGATTTTTCACTAAATCTCAAGGATGTAATAATTTGATGACTAAACATTCTTAAATATGAACTTTGAATCAATTATCAGTTGTCAGAGTATCTGACTAGTATCTAACTGAACAGTAACTCTGTCACAGTATGTAGCTAAATCTAACATTGCCCTTTTGGAAAGTTTAACATTAGCATAACGTCAGCAAACTGAGAGCTGAGCAATTAACTTACTTTCCACACTTACTGGTAGAGTGGCTAATTAACAGAGTCCAAAAAAAACCAATGTGATCCAAACATAAGAAGATAAAATAGATTAAAGCTGCAAGCAGCGTTGGGCGGGCCCTTGCACTTGTAGCGCGTCCGGGTGTGAGCCGGCCGAGTTGCACATTCTGGAGCTCTGCCGGTGCGGCTGTGAATTTGCTACGCGGTTCAGACGCCGCATGAAGGTGCTATATGTCACTTCCTGTGTCCCCTATGTGGAGCTACATAGCACTTGCCGCTATGAATATAAATCGGTATTGCCGTGCAGATGTCTTCGGGGTGGGACAGTTATCAAGCACGTAAAGTTTGGTTCAGATGTCAGCATATACACTGTTAGTAAGTTACAACAACTTCCTGTGTCATGGCGAAGAGTTGATATTTGACGCCACGCCACAGACACGCCCATTGACAAAAACTCGCAAATAGCACAACTTTTCATCTTCAATGCCTTTAGAAGGCACAGCACAAATTTGACGTGATCCGACTAAATCCCTAGGAGGAGTTCGTTAAAGTACGAAGTGTGTAAATCATCCAAAAATGCAGTTTTCCTGTTGACTTTAGGCTATGGGTTCTTGAGGCTTTTTTGTGCGTCTTGATATGATACATGTCCCCAGAAAATTTCGTACATGTAGGTTTAACGTGAACGAGGGGATCATCTTTTCCAATTTTCTAGGTGGCGCTAGCGAGTCATTTTGCCACGCCCATGCGCGAAACTTATAGAATACGAAATTTTTCACCAGTTCTGACATGTTTGCAAATTTTGGTGAGTTTTCGAGTATGTTTAGGCCATGTCATTTGAGCCTACTTTGCAGAAAAAAAAAAAAAATACATATATATATATATATACATATATATATATATATATATATATACATATATATATATATATATATATATATATATATATATAATCTTAGCAAATTCAATAGGGACCTCACACGGTCGTGCTCGGGCCCTAAATATATATATATATATATATATAATCTTAGCAAATTCAATAGGGACCTCACACGGTCGTGCTCGGCCCTAAATATATCCAAGAAGGGAACATAATCCAGAAAGCAGGGAAACACGACGAGCAAGGCAGACAACATGAGACAGAGCGTATACACACGAAAATGACTTGACAAGGACTGAAGAGAAACAGCAAACATATATACACCAGGGACTAATGAGCAGGGTGGGAGCAACCAAGGTGACCGACATGAGACTAACGAGACGCAGGCAGAGAGAGAGCAGGGGAGAACAGAGAGAGGCAGGCAGAGACAGCAAAGGGGAACAAAAAGGCAGGCAGAGTAATAACTGGGGGAACAGATGGAAGACTTGACGGGCAGACATGGGGCAAAATAACCAACACAGAACACATCTAACAAAATACCAGACAAGACTCTAACTCAGACAATAACAGAAACCAATGTATACAGACAAACACCGACCAACTAAAACACAGGGATCATAACAGACAAAACCTAAACGAGAACACAGAACTAGAACACAGAGTACCGAGCAGACTAAACCAAAATGATGCAGAGAAAGAACTAGAAGCAAATACTACGACATGAGCTAAGGCACAGGACTAGGAACAAAGACATGGAACAAAAACCCAGACTCCCCAAGAAGACACACAGACAGGACTGAAACCCAGACACAGAGGAACCAAAATCAAAACACAGAGAAGGCATGGCCAAAATAATATAATCCAGACCAGCTCAGGACAGGATCGTGACACTCTCCTCTTGCTGACTTCTCTTTGAGTCTTTAAACAGTGTGCTGTTAGCATACACTCCCATTAACTTAGAATCTTTAACACAGCTTTGGGACACATGTATCTGGCTATGTAACACAACGACCCAAACTTGATAGGTATGCTGACAGCAATACCTGTTAATTATTATTTCTCACCAACTGGAGCACAGACTTCTTGGAGGGTCTCTCTCTACAATAAACAGCACAGCCTTATTCATCCAGTATTTGCATGAAGAAAACTCCAAAAGCCTCAAACAGGCAGAGCTGCAGATCTCTGTGACTGTATGAGCTGAGTGAGGTTAACAGACGGCAAGCAGACTTCTAGCAGTGACAGTGGCAGCAGCCACCTGTCAAACAAAGCAGCCACGCCCTAATAGATTAGAATAGAATAGATACATAATAATGCAGAACTTGAAGGCTAAATGTAATTTAAACAGGTGAGTTGTAAATTTTTACCCCCCTCACAATTGTCATGAAGGGGGAATTGAGCTATACACTAGAGCTGACCGATATGGGTTTATGGGGGGTTATGCCGATATTATAGAGAAAAAGAGCGGATTTATGAGCCAATATTTAGATTTTGAGAATTATTTGGATAGTAGACCCCTTTACCGTATAAACTACACTTAGAAACAGGCTAATATTGAAAGCTGTTCAGTATGTGGGCTATAATACCTTTTCCTAAAGACCTACAGTCAACAACTTATCAATAAATGTTTGCATATTTGCAACTTTTTCAGCTATCTGTTAACAGAGAGAGAAAATACGCATGTGTATTTCACTTATAATCTGCGATAATTTTGCTACATTTCAATTTTGTGTGTGAACATAGTTTAGCTCACACACAAAGGACAGGACAATCTTTTAGCTTGGCCAGCTATTGTTTTGATTGGCATCCACCAATTTAATCACCTGAGCCCGGCAACACTCATCATAAGCTACAGTCTAATTTCATGTCTCTGTGTGATCAAGTTAATAGCTAAGGCTGTACCCGAGTGTAACGTTACGTATTGAACCTACGTATTTATTGGATAATAAATTTATGAATATGGAAATATTAATTCATAAACTCTCGTTTTGGGGCACCACCAAAAATTTGCTGTCCACCCAAGGCTTTATAATAATAATAATAATCTTTATTTGTAGAGCACTTTTCAAAAACAAGTTACAGTGCTTTAAGTGTAAAGACAATAATACCCAAAAGACAATAATACAAAAACAATACAAGATAAAAGCATGAAAACACTGAAAAGACTAAAATACACGTTTAAGATAAATATAAAACTAGTAAAATAGAATAAAATAAAAGGGATAAAATAAAGTCAAATAAAATCGGGAAAGGCTCTCCTATAAAATAATGTTTTAAGAAGGGACTTAAAAGAGTTTACTGACTCAGCTGACCTGATTTCCTCGGGCAGGCTGTTCCAGAGCCTCTGGGCCCTGACAGCAAACGCTCTGTCCCCTTTAGTTTTCAGTCGAGACTCTGAAACAGACAACAGACCTCTGCCCGAGGATCTCAAGGTACGTGCTGGTGCGTATAGGACTAAAAGGTCAGAAATATAACAAGGCAAGAGGCTATGAAGAGCTTTAAAAGTGATCAATAGAATTTTAAAGTCAATTCTAAAACATACTGGGAGCCAGTGTAATGAAGCTAAAATAGGAGTAATGTGGTCATATTTCTTTGTTCTGGTTAAAAGCCTGGCAGCTGAGTTCTGGACAGTCTGGAGTCGATCAGTAGATTTTTGGGTTAAACAGAAAAGGCTGTTGCAATAATCCAGGCGTGATGAGATGAAGGCGTGTAAAATGGTCTCGGTGTCCTTAAAAGTTAACATAGATCGGATTTTTGCTATATTTCTAAGTTGATAAAAACATGATTGAACAAGCATTGTGGTGTGCTGCTCGAAATTTAAATTACTATCAAACCAAACACCAAGGTTCTTTGCCACAGGCTTAATGTGATTTACTAGGGAACCAGCAGATGGCAGTATTTGATTTGCCACCTGCTGGGACCCAATGACCAGGATTTCTGTTTTGTCTGAGTTCAGCTGGAGGAAATTATTTAACATCCATTTTTTAACTTCACAAAGGCAGTTGTTAAGTGAACTCAGCATTCCAGGTTCTGTGGATCTGACGGGCAAGTATATTTGTGTGTCATCAGCATAAATATGAAAAGAAATGCCATGTTTATGGATAATATGTCCAAGGGGAAGCAGATACAAGGAAAACAAAATGGGTCCTAAGACCGACCCCTGAGGCACACCATATTTAACTGGACAGAACGAGGAGACATAGTTGTTTACAGACACGCAAAACTTCCTATTTGACAGGTAGGATGAAAACCATTCTAGGGCAGCACCAGAGATCCCCACCCAGTGCCTCAGTCTGTCTAACATGATGTTGTGATCAATGGTGTCAAAAGCAGCAAGGTCCAGGAGTACCAGGACTGAGCACATGCCTTCATCAGCAGACATTAAAAGGTCATTGGTGACTTTAAGCAGGGCAGTCTCAGTGCTGTGGTACTTCCTAAAACCAGACTGAAACTTTTCAAATATTTTGTTATTTTCCAGTACAGTGAGCAGCTGTTTGGACACAATTCTTTCTAGAATCTTTGCAATAAAAGGCAGTTTTGAAATTGGTCTAAAATTATGTGG